AAAGCAGGGCTATAGAAAATTTGTATAAATAAGAAAAAAGCATCTAATTAAAGTGGACCAAAACTCATGTTAACTCTTCAGCCCAGGAATAACTCAGACAATAAATTATTTTAATTTCTCCCTATTTGAAAAACACTTGTGTTGGAGTCCCTGCTGTCCTGACACCTTGGGAAGATTCTTGGGAATTTTTTGAGAATATTCTTAGGAATAATATTGGTAAATATTGATGTAACAGAACATTGGAAATATTCTTGGAAAAAATATCGTGGGAATAGTTTGATGAATAGTTTCCTTTAATTTGTGTTCTAACAGTTCCAGACTTGTGCAAACTTCCAACAGTTTTAATGGAGCCTTCAATTTTTTTAAGTACTCAAGAACTCAGCAATTTCTTTCATTTGTAGGTCTTTTTCTTTCATCTTTTCTAATGCAAATTTCTTCATGTATGTTTAGGGCTAGTAATAACCTTAATGATAGAAAAAGTCTGCCTCTGAGACTCCAAGCCCTACATATGTGTGTTTTTTTAGATCTTCCATCTCTCCCCATTTGCAAGGAATGTTGCTAAAACGTGCTGATGCTCTGATTCTGGACAACAAACAAACTACGGAATGTTTTTTCCATCCTCTCACATCTTAGCTCTACTTTCTACCCTTCTTGACTCACACTGTGTCTTTCATATCTTTCTTCTAAACATTTTGCACTGAATTCCTCCAAGATATTCCTCACACTTGTTATGTGCCTTAACTGCAGTTGCCCCTGTAGTTATCGCACATCTACTGATCTGTCCTTTGACTCCCTTGGTGTTCTGCACTGACCAGAGTACTAAGTACTTTCTATTTCTTGTAGTTCTCATTTTGTTCCTATGGAGTGGACAAATAACTTATACATTTTTCATTCTTCTGTCGGGGTCACTGACCAGATGCAGACAATCAACTTGTTCAGTGGCACCCACAGCATGAATCTCTAAAGCAACAGACTGTGGTGCTCTGCAGCAGTGAGGACACATATTCTCTGTATTTCTTAATATCTGATGATGGTGAATTTCTCAGCAAACCAAAGTTTATATACTGATTTCTTTTTTCTGTAAAGGTACCTTGGTAATGCAATGGTCATTCTGAGTCACTAGTGCATCAGGGCATGTTTGAGAAGTGTTCTGTAAAGAAATCTTCTGCCATAATTATTTTAGCTGCCCATACTGGGGGTAGGCTCAAATAAAAGAATATATAGCATTACATCCTCTTACAAACAGCCAGTAGATAGTGTGGCAGATCTCGTCCTACCTGCTTATTACATTACTTTTTACATCTGTATGACACCATATAGAAGTCCAGAGACCTGAAATGTTACATTTGCCTAAGCACAGAAATCAAATCATAAAAGAGCCACTGCTTGCACTATAACAATGTAGACATATCAGTACTGCTCCTGAGTGTCAAAGTTGGTGGTATTATCATAATTATCTGTGTTCTGAGCATAATTTGGGAACATATTCAATTATACAGTGTACCATCTTACCTAAAGTAAACCAATGTTTTATTAAACTAACTGGAATTGAATTGCTCCATTTAAAGTGTTTCTAATTTAAAAGGTTCATTTTGGAAAGACTCTTCAAAACTGAGCTAATTAGCTGGGATTGCCTATTTGAATACTGTATAAAATACATGACACTTTTCCAAAATGTGTTAAAAATAATTGAACCAGCTGTGGAAAATAAAAAAAAAAGGGTTTTGCTATCATTGCTCATGCAGAATATTTTTTTGGTAAAATGATTTTATAAATTATTTTATAAATTATTTTAATCTAGCAGTCTTTCATATACTTAGAATTATATGCTCATCTGATTCTAAAACCAAAAGTTGGTATTTATTACTGAACTGTGATTCTTACTCAAAAAACCCCAAACCAAACAAACACAAAAACTTTAAAACCAAACCTTTTTTTCCTCAAAATTTTCCTTGTATTTATAGCAGGATTAAAATTTCAGAAATATCCCCTTAATTAATTAGTTTGTTTTTACTTTTATGAATCCTAGCTGTAAACCTGTTTCAGAAAAGAAGTAGCTATTGTAACATTTTAATCTGATTTACCTTTAATCTTGAAGTTGTAATGCTTTGGGGCTTATAGAGGGAGACAAGGAGCACAAACAAACCCGAAGTGGTTCAGGTAGGGCTGGACTGAAATGGGTCCCCCATGGGATATTTGGTAGGGCCAGTGAGGACTGGTAGAGCCCTCATGGCCCTGACAGTATCCTTCTGTAATATTTTGGTTATTAGTATATTGACATTATTAAAGCTCTATGTAACTGTAAGAATGTTCTTATATTGCTGGGTTTTGTTAACTACAGTGTAATTTTTGAAATGGCCTCACAAATCATTGTAAACTGAAGTTTGCATCAAGAGAGTAACAGGTCTGGTAATGGAGAGAGAAAATTATGCATTAGATATGGTTGTATTCCTATGAGTGATATTCATTGCACTTTATACTCGTCTTACAGATCAATAATTCCACTTATTTCAGCTAAGTCTTCTCTGAATGTCTAGCTCCTTTGAGCAGACTATTTTTGAATTTCTTGAACTCTGTCTTTAGGCACTTCCTGTATAAAATAAAGTGCAGGTAAACAATGTGGATGAAATGCTGGACTTCTTAAATTGATAGGAGTTTTGCCACTGCATTTTCTCTGGTCCAGTATTTAAGACTGCTGCTCTATATTTGTCATCAGAAAATGAGAAATATAGATTTAAGTTCTTAACTTCTTCAGCCCTCTTTCTATTTTTTTATATAATACAAATTTTTCACCTAATTTTTCATTATCCTGCATTTCATAATTTGATTTCCAAGGTTCTTTTTTTAAAACTAGAACATGGGAAGCAGATTTTAGCCTGAGGTTTGTGTTAAGTGTTTCTCTATGGTGAGAGGAAAGAAACCTTCAGATCAGACTGTGATCAGTCTTTGTGAGTGGAAGTTTCCAAACCTTTGCTGAACTGGCAAAAATAGGCATGGCTGTATCCTCCCTTGATAAAGATAAGATTATTCTAACTGGGAAGACTTTTAACCAAAAAGTTACTAAACAAAAGTGAAAAGGGCTCCTAAAAGCCTTTGGCCTTGCAGATGCCTATTAGGACAACTGCTTTTCCCAGAGCAGCAGTTGCCTGGACTAATGATTTTCAAAAGACCATAAGGAAAGTGGAAATCAAGTGGTGAGAAAAAGGTCCTTAACAGCTGCTTTTGTTGCTAGAAGCTCCCTTGATTGCATCACATGTTCATCTCAAACTAGTAAAATTGAACACAATGTCTCACTGATAATTATATCTTTTTATCTGGAAAAATGGACAAGCCAAACAGTCTCTTTCATCTGCCAGAATATGTGAAGCAGAGGTAATTGGCAGGATGTTAGAGAGGTCATAGCATAGTCCAGTGAGAGATTAAATACACCTGAACTCCTTGAAATTATCTCAGAATCATTTCAGGCTTCCCGGGGAACCAATTATCATTTAAAGTTAATAATCATAGTGAAAACAACTGGGAAGAATGTTTCTTGTACAGGAAAATTCTGAATACAAAGGAAAGGACTGTAAAGTACAGAAAATTCTAGAGAAATTATGCATCATTCAGGTAAAAATAAATCTTTATCCATGTCTCCTTATGTAATTTCCTTCTTATCTAAAAAAATTTCAAGAACAGCAAGAACCAACCTATTAAGAGACACACATACGAGATCTCTTTAACCTTACATGCTTAATCCAGGGATGACCAATAATGGATGCCCAGGGAAGAATCTAAGAATATAACAAGTGTGTAATAAATTTCCCAAATATCTTCCTAGCCTTTAGTCATTCCTACCTAAGGCACTCCCCAGCTGTTTCTGTCAGATGTCTTGATGCTGTTGGATAAACATACGTAAGCATACTGAGTGCTAGCAGACTGCCAGAAGCTTTACAGTACCCATGGTCTCTCTGCATGCTTCAGGGAAAGAGCTGTATGGTATCAGGTGATTTCAGGGAGAAAAGTGCCTCTCTACGGCAGCAGAGACAATCCTGCTTTTTTCCTTCTCTCATGCACTCACTCCACTCCAGTGAGAGCATGATTGGTGAGCTTGCACTTTTTTTTTAAAAAAAGTTTTAAAAAAAAAAGTGCAAGTGTTTCTCTTGGCTCTCTGTTGCAGCTTTCCCCTTTCCTGCGCATCTGCGCTTCCCCTAAAGGAGTGCATCTGGCTCCTCTTTCTTCAAGAAGCAGAATTCAATTATTTTTGGGATTGTTTTTGCTGGCTGTGAACACAGGATAAACTTACACCTTATGCAAACATTTTTCAAAAGCTCAAACCTAGTTGGATGCTGAAAGCCAGGCAGTCATCCTGCCAACTGACTCCAAAATTGTTAAGACTGTGTTTAACATAAAGTGTTTGTCTCCTTGTTGTATCAGTTTGATCCCTAATAGTAAATCCCTGTAAAGTACTAATGGCAGTGGATCTGGGCTCTCTGTTACAAGATCTTGCCTTCCAGTGCTCTCATTGTTTTCTTTGAGAGTAACAATTCTCTTTATCTTCAAAGAAATGCATGTCTATGTTTGTAAGATTTTAGTAAGTGCAATGCAAATATTACAGATTGTGCAGATTAATGGAATAATACAATATAGTGTTGGTTAGGTAGTTAAAATAGTGCAGGTTAACAATATATGGGAAAGGCTAGGGGAACAGGTTTGCATTAAGTTTTTTTGAGTTTGGAACTTTGTAATATTAACAGGAAATTAAAACAAATTAAAGAAATCAAGTTCAAATCTCATTTCTGGAGCAGGGATTGTATGCACAAAGATTTCAAGCTTAAAATAGTATTCTTGGAATTCTTTAATATAAAAATTTGACTTGCAAAATATTTAATGAAATTATTAAAAAGGGCTGTTATACTTGACACAACTTCCCTCTCAGCATGCATGTTAATATTAAGTTCTAACGTAATTTTACCTCAATTTTTTGTTCTCTCATTTATTGTCTCATACATGTTTCCCAGGATAGCCCACTGGTCTTACAGTCTGACAGAAATGTAACAGTGAATGCAAGAAATCACATGGGACAGTTAACTGGACAACTGACAGTAGGTGAGTGTTCTTTATTGGCTGTTATATTTATCAATTTAGCTTTATTAATAGGTTTCATTTATTATCTTCACATATAAAATATTACTGAAAAGTCAGGAAAAAGAATCTCATCACCATGCTCAAAAACCATTGCATACAATGTATCATAAGAGCATGATTTAGCATTAGCTCAAGGAAGAAAAACTAGAAATGCCTCAAAATAGCTAAAATGAAAATAGCTTAATGAAAAATTATTATTTTTGAGACCATTGTAACAAAACAAACTGAAAAAGCCTCAGCAAAATATGTTTCAACAACACTTTCAGTGGAAAAATTATCATAATTTTCTTTTTCTTCTACTTATACTTTCTGTAAGTCTTCCATTACTTCAGTGGCAATGGCTTTGGCCCTGTCACTTGTTTAGGGCATTTGTATCAGCACATATTCAAAGTGGCTGGAGTAACAGAATGTTAAAAATCAGAAAAAAAAACCCCAAAAAAACAAAATGTTTTCCTAGTCATTCATTAAAACTGGTATTTTACAAAGTATAAAATATTGCACTTCCAAATGAAATGGATATAAAAGAATCCTCTACTTATCTGTTTCAACTACCATGTATTTCCCCCATTTTATGAAATTTATTGTGTTATACTTTGTTTTTAGTATGAATCATACTTCTTGTGTTTATACAGAAGAGTACTGATATTAATTTATTTTTAAGGATATTGGCCAGAAAAATCACTGGAAAGTGATTTATTAGTTCTGGTACAAACTGGGAATTTTGACTGGGAATGGGATAAAAAAAATAACAATATATATTCATAAGACCTTAGTATATAAAATTCAAGGAGACAGCCCTTAGACTTAATTTTCACTTTTTTCATTTTACTTCTGGATTAAGATGTGTTCTATTCATTGTTTTTTCCTCATGTGCTGAGCATATGCTCACAAATAATTTTAAGTTTAATTCCAGTTGTAATCTATACTAAGTTTTCATACTGACAGGAGACAGTGGCTTCTAGTTGTAAAAATCTTTTCCAAGTGCACACAGTGACACACCATCTGCACTGATTTCCCTGAACAACCACATTGAATGAGTGTGCAAAGGTAACCAGACTTGCTAGCAGGTACAGATGAGCAAAATTAAGCTAACACCTGTTCTGGCCATATTGTACTTGCCCAGTGCAATTACAAAATGCAGTCCTCTATCATCTGGTAAAACTATTGTTAAAACCTCTACTTCAGCTGGTAATTGCAAAAAGGTGAGTTATCCATGGCAGACATGCACATTGGCTGAAATGGGTATCATATTTTTATCACTGACACTATTCTGGCTGAGGGAATCCAGCACTGAAAATGTGTGTGAGTGAATTGAGGCTGACCTACTTAAAGGCATCACACTAGAGGTTAATATTCTAAAAACGTGAAGGCCTGAAAAAACCATGTTTTTATGTTGCTATCATTAGGGTGAACACCTTAAGCTTCTTGGTGGGCAGCTGGTGCCATCTCTGGAGACTTAGAAGCTTGTTAAATTGCAATATTGTATTTGCATTATTTCTTAATCTATCTTCCACTTTGTTTCATATATGGCCTTTGTTATTTCTTATAATATATTTATATCTTATATATTTCTTGGTATAAAAACTTTTTTTTTTTTGGTGAATCCCCTGTACAGTATTGGATGCATGTTAAAATACTCCTTATCTCTTATGAAATACTTCTTACTTAATAAAGATAGTCACAACTGCCAGTAGAATCAGTAATACCTGAATGTTCTTCTTTTAAGAAATCAAAGAAATTAACAGGAACCTTAAAGTAAAAATATATTATTAAGGCACTCCCTTCTAAATTTTTTGTTGTGAAAGACAGAATAGAGACAAGTTTTTACTTTTGCCTAAGTAAAAGCATGGCCACATCTGCTGAAAGAATGGGAGGGGAGTTTTCTATACAGAGTTTGCTGACAGGAGAAAATATTTTTTTCTCTTAGTTGTAAATGTGCCCCAGAAATTCCCTGTTTTTAAAAATGCTCTCTGTCAATTCCCTAGTGATTTGTGCTGAAGCAGCTGTTTATGTGGCTGCCCAATGAAAGGAATGAAAATAAACAGTGAAGAAAAATGTTTTAAACAACAAAAAAGCAAATTATCATGTCTTGGGGAAAATTTTTTCTTGTTAAACCTCTGAAATATTATCTGTTCATTCTTTAAATAGTTGAATAATAATCATTAAAAAAATAGACTACAAATTAATATGCATGGCAAGAGCATTTTACAAAGAAAGAGGAATGCCAGTGCATTCAAAAGGATGATAATGCCCTTTTTATACATGTGATATCATTGGCATTTTAAACACATTTCACAGGACTGAAGTGATACTACAAACCAGCAAATAGGCTGGTCTCATCCTGTGCTTGGCAACCAAATTGCCACTCATGCCAAATTCTAGGACAACTAAAAATTCTTTCTGTGGTGTTTGAAACCATGCCATGTAAGACTAAGACAGCCTTAAGAGCATATAATTAGGGAAGATGGATTAATGTAAAAAAGTATTATTATTGGGCTGGGAGGAAGATGGCAATATGTTCACTCAGGGAGATGGAAAAAAAATCTAGTGAAACTCTTAATGGGTATTCAGTTCTGTAAGTGACAAAATATGTCATTACAGTCATCAGTAAGACATCTTGGGAAACATCCTAACCTAGGTGGAGTGAAGAAAAAGTATATTAAATAAGTCTTTTAAAAAGTAACTAAGTGTATTGGATGATTGAGTGGTTGCTTGTTTAAATGGTAAAAATTCAAGTTATGCTTCAGGTCATACAAGACCAAGGGTACACCCATTATTGCAGTACAGTGTTTTTTATACTGGCACCAAAGTCTGTACAGAGAGAAAGTCACAGCTGTAGCAATGCTCTCTGTTGGGAACTGTACCAACTGAGCAAGAGATGTTGGTTTGTACTCCAGTCTTTTCATGACATATGGTCTGGAAACTGCCAAGTTTGTGTCTGGATCTCCAAGAGGACTCCGCAGCCTTCAGTTTTTAGACATGCCATTTAAGACTAATGGAGCAGATGTAGCACAGACATGAATTGTATGTACAAAATAAAGATGAAAAGATGACAATCCATTGAATTTTGCTGGCTAAGTTGTCAGATCTCTCCCCTAGCAACCCTTATTACTGATACTTCTGCATTGTACATTCTACAGAATTACCTTTACACAACATTTTGTCTCTGTTTAATCAATGTTTGCACAGTTTATATGGAATTTTTTTTTCTACTGATCTTAGAAATGCATATTAGTTGCTCACCTTGAGCCACAAGTCTTTTGTCTCCATGCTGTCTGCGCATATCTTAGATACCTCTGCCTGCCTTTGAGTGGAGTACATTAGGCTCACAAGCACTAAAAAAATGTAATAGGACATTTGAAACTGAAACACACATTTGTATTTAATGTAAATTCTTCCTCTGGTTGAATTACTATTTCAGGGTTTTTTGGTTTTTTGGGGTTTTTTTGTTGGTTTTTTTTTCCTGGTTTTTTTTTTTTTTCTTGTTTTGTTTTGGTTTGGTTTTTTTCCGCACTCTTTTCCTTACTGCAATAATTGTTTCTGACAGGTATTTCATCTACTGTTTGACCCTTTTCTATTCATAAAGAACTCTTTGAAATGTGCAAAAAAAAAAGCATTTAATTTCTGCTAAGCTTAGAACCCTCAGACAGAATCATAACTCTCACAGACATCCAGACATGTACAAGTCATATCTTTAGAGAGCTCCTAAACCTCCTGTCTCTCTACTCACTGAGATCTACAGAACCATGCAAATTCAGAAAAAAATATTTGAATACCAAAGTTATATCACATTCTTGCAGCTACTTTTTGAAAATAGCAGGCAGATGTATGATTTTCAATTATAGCACTGCTAAAGACTGATAACACTGCTGAAAGATCTACTCAAATAATTTGTCAAGCTTGGAGATCCTTTCCATATATTTGCCACAAAACTTATCTTGTGTATTCCGAGATGTTTTTCTTTAAAATGTGCTTTCTTACTTGCGGTGTTCCATCAGGAGTACTTGGGTTATTGTGCAGAAGCTCTTGGACATTAGAAACTGCAGGTATGTAACTTTGTGGGAGTGGGAGGCTCCTTCATCATTCACACCTATATCCTGTAGGGCAGTTTCCTATGCTTATATCAAGTGATACCTTAACAGGTAACACACCCTACTACCCCTTTGCTTCTGAGGTTCTCGAAGTAACTCATCACCTAAAGGCCGCTCCTGGTGTTCCCTTTGCAACATTTAGATATCCATGAAGGTCTGAAGCATGATACAATATTTCAAATATTCTTGCTTTTAGAATAATTTGTAGGAGTAACAAAACGTAATAATATATTCTTACTCTATGGGGTACTAGCAATAATAATAAAGTGCATGTATAAATATGTGTATACGTGTTGCTCTAAATATTTTGTATTATTATCAAATATTTACTTAAGATTTTTATGAACTTGAACTAAGTATCCATTAATAACATGCTTAATGAGACAAGAAATATTTCTGGCTTTGAATCTTGTTTGCAAACACTGTAGACTCAAATGGAAGGTCTTTTCTCCTAAGTATTGCAAGAAGAGGGTGGTTTTAGAATGATCATACACTCTTTCCTCAGTGTTGGAAAAGGGAGAAAATGGTCTCAGCTTTTCTCTTATCTGCATAATTGTTCTTGTATCATCTGTAGTAGGGTGCTGGGAGGGAAGGGATGAGTTGGTTTACAATCCCTCATCAGTTTCTGCCTTTGAACAGGGCAAACATGGATTAGAACTTCTCAGGAATATGTGGAAGAAGGGCTTTCTCCCGCTTACAAAGGGGTTTGCCTGCCTGTCATCCCAAACTACAGTGAGATTTCCAGAATCTGAAATACATTAAACTTTCTGCTAGTCTAATTTCTATATTAAGACAATTGCTCTTGTAACCACTATGGTACAGTAGGATAATTATTATTACTAAGAAGATATGGCAAAACAAATCCAGATA